TTGAGTGATCTACTCCGTCGATGCTTAGGCAAACAAGTGTCCTGGGATACCGCTTCGAGGAAGCAAGTCCGTTCACCTAGTCAGATAAGCACTATTTGCCCCATTTTTTATCCCAGTCGAAGTCAGTTAGCAGTTTATCTCGAAGGTAAGAGTGGAAAATGTACGCTTCGACTAACTCCAACGATACTGAAAATACTTCTTTTTGAGAGTGAGTTAGTGTTACTCAAGTAAGTCGTCAGACTCCACATCCCATGATTGTTTGTGAATCCTCAGACGCTTCCTAATCTAAGAATTTCCTCTTGCCCTGAATTTTTAGGGTCCGACTGATCCCTCCCTTCATACAATTAAGATTCTGATTTTCTCACTTAAATCTCCTAGTCAGACCACCGAAGAATATCTCATTCGCCATTACTCCCAGGCTATCGATTGAAACTGCCTTGGACGAGCCAAATTATGAGACCGTGGTGGCGATCCAAATTCTTATGCATTCATTCCCCGGTGCAGATCTTTCATCCCGCCTCTTCGTCGATGTCCAAATCATCCGTAGGAACTTCGCTCCCGCACCCTCGGTCGAGTAGTCCAGGGCTTCAACGAGATCGACCGCGTTGTTGCTGCCTCCTTCCTCGTTTAATCGTACAAAGCAGCGCCCACTCTCCTCCCCATCGAGAAGGATCGTCCTTCCTTACTAGCGGCTAATTCCATGATCCACACATCTGGGCCCGACAATACCAAGAGACAAGGTTTGTTGCTGCCCCATCATTGTAGTTAGCGGCGCGAAGGACGAACTCTTTGATTTGTGCCGCCTCACTTCCCCCTCTCCCCACCTTCCTCAGACTCTCGATGAGTTCCTTCCTAATTCCCGTTACATTCAGTAAAATCCCTATTGCCAGAAAAACGCACTTCCTCTCGTCCGTACTCCGATCCCTACCTTCCTTTCCTGCGGACCGGAGCTCGGCAAGATGTTCTTCATTCAGATTGACGATCATCTTCCCGTGTTTAATGGATCGGGTAGAGAATCCCAGAATATGACCTAGCAACCAATCGTCCCTTGCCCTGGTCCAAAATTTTTTGTTGACTACCCAAACCGACTTTTCAGCATCGAAGTAGCAAAAGTTCCGCGTACCTAGGTAGTTGGCTAGGAGCTTATCCTTCCTCGTCTTCTTCGCCCACCCCATAGCATACTTCCTCTTTCTTATCAAAGTCATATCCCATGCTTCTAGTAGACCAGCATCGGTTGGTAGAGACAGAGTCCCTTCCTCCCTGTGTAGGACTAGGAATCCAGCGAGCCTTCCACTAAAGGAGAGTGTCTCCTCGTTTTCCCTAACGCTATCATCTACCCTATTCACTACCTCCAACAACTTCTCCAAGGCGTCATTCTTGAAGAAGCAAGGCAGAGGCGGAAGCGCAGTCGGTCTTCCTCCAAAATCTAGAATCCTTCGCTCCTTCGACAAGTAGTCCCCCATTTATTGAAATGAAGCGTGCGACCCATGATCGTACTCCTTCTTCCTCCAGATACTATCGGCTGTCTATCATTTCCAAGCAATTGTAGCCCTCCCTCGTCGCAGCGTGAGCTGTTCCCCGGTTAGTCCTTCGTCCTGCTTCTTCTGCCAGGCAACTCTAGTCCTGTGTTTCGTCTATCCTTGCTCAATCGTACTATCCTCGTTTTCCCACATCTCTGGCTGCTGGCTTCATCCGAGTCCCAAGCCCCGGTGCAACACTTCTATCATCCTCCCACCTCTTCTATTCTCCCTTGAGCTATCGCAAACCGTCCAGTTGATTGGGTCATGGCTCCTGCCTTCACCCGCCCAAGTACCTTACCCTAACCCACCAGAGTAAACATTTTGCCCTTCCGTTCCATCTCAAATGGAGACCCGGCTATTCTAACTTCCGCTCCCAGACTGACTTAGTTTCAATTAGTTAGATCAGGAGAAAAGAAAGAAGAAGCCTTAGATCGTATCTTAAGGAAGACCTTAACTTAAGGAGAAGACAATTACGGCCGACTATCCTTCAGCCAAGCTTGGCAGGCCGCAAGGCGAAGACCTTCCTCTTTAAGTTTACGACTCACAGTGCGCCCTCGTGAATGTGAGAGAAGAGATGAACTTACCTCCAGACAGTCTTCGAAAATTTGAGTCCTTAGCTCGAGAAAAGTGAAAACCTTCCTCAGGCAACTGAATCCTTGCCCTTGCTGATCAACCAGGTACCGGAATGCTTTTGCCTTAGCGCAGTCGAGCGGAGGGAGTTCGGTGCCCAACTTGCCAGTTGGACCAGCCGGACGTCCCAAAATAGCAAAGATGCCTCAGGCTGTGCTCCAACCTGCAGATATAGTCCAGCTGCTTGCTCATCCGGCGGATCCTCATTAAGTCTCCTATTCCCTCCCTATATCCAACTCTGACTGCCCTTCTTGGCGCCCAAATTTTCCCCCTGTCTGATCTATTTGCCAGGCTCGTAGCTCAGAGCCTATTTTGTCCCATTAGTAAATTCCAAAACTGCCGCTGCCGATTCTTTTTTTTTCTTTTTTTTTTAGGGGGGGGGGAGGCTGCAGATTCCTGGTGCCTCTATCAGCCAATCGGTGGCCCAGAAAAATGCCTCTATCAGATTTTTTTGGGAAGGCTGCAGATTCCTGGAGAAAAAATGCTGACAGCATCAGCCAGCTTAGCTGAGGCCTCAGTGAAAGCGAAATACACTAGGCACAGCTCCAGTCCCAAACGGAACTCTGTCCTGATGCCTCTCAGCTGAGCAATTAAACCACCAGTACCTCTCTCAGCTATTGAATCCGAGCCTCCCAGCACGCTGCGCGCCAAGTCCTGCCGAACCGCCGTCGCAATTTTCTTTTGCGTTTTGCCTGCGGCCTCCAGCCAATGCGGTCCAGCAGGCCGAAGCCCAAATGGCGCGGCGCGTATATGTGAAGCGCCGCGGCCGATAGCTGGGCCAGGTACTGGTGGTTTAACGTGAGGATTGGCACGTCATTGCCTGGTCTGGCACACCCCTGAACTGCTCAATTCTTTTTTTCTCTTTTTTTTTTCTTTTTTTTTCTAAAGCTATATTCTTCTCTCAATTTCACCTCACACTACCTACCTACCTACCTACCACTACTCCTAATTGTAGGCATATGGGGAGCCCCGTAGCAGCCAGAACCGTGTTCACGAGAGAACATGGATGCGGGGGCTGCTCCCGACCTGCAGGTGGGCGATACCGGCTAGGGGACAGCCGGTAGCATCAGGGACCATGCCATCCGGACCAATCCCTATGCCTGCCCTCAGGTGGTGGTCCCCTCCCCTTCGAACATCAGCAGACTCTGCCCAATGCCGATCGGGGGATCCAGTGGTCTATCTGTAGGTGGCGGGCGCCAAGCATGCCCAGGAAGGTACATGAGGCCGATGGGGATTGCAGTGGGGATTGAACCCACGACCTCTTGAATGCCACTTGCGAGCCTTACCAACTGAGTTAGGCCGCTGGATGAAGTGTTCAATTCTAGTGCATGCTTGACTTCCAATCGCTGCTTAACTGGATTAATTAATACTTAATAGTGAACTAACAGATCAAAGTTCATTCATGAAGAGGCGCCCTTTTGGACTAACGTCCCGCTGACGCCGGACAGTGGGCGCGAGCACACATACTAGCGAACGCAAAGTGTTTGGGGAGAGCAAGTGAGAGCGTGTGGTAGTGTGTATGCGTGTCTGCGCGCGAGAGAGCACGTACCGCAACAGTGATTGAGAGAGAGGGACAGAGAATCTGAGGGAAGCTTCTATGGCGACCACGAGAGATTTCGAGAGTGAGGCTGGGAAGGGCGAGTCTTGCGGGCGCGTGGACGAGATGGACCATGGGTTAGTTGACGGTAACCCCGACTGGGCAAACATGGTGATTGACGTGCTTGCGGTCATTTTCAACTTCCTCCCCGTTCGAGACAGGTTTCGTGCGGGGAGCGTGTGCCAGAATTGGCGGCGAGCTTCTTCACATCCTGCCTGCTTGCAAGCCGCTCGGGTCGAATTGTATGAGGAGCTGAGTCAGGAACGCCCGATAGCTCTTTTAAAATGCGCGATGGCATCTTTGAAACTCCTGATTGCATTTACGAAACGCCAGGCTGCATTTGTGGAACGCGAAATTGCATTTTGGAGACGCGAGAGGGTTTTCTTGGAAGGAGGGAAACGCGGGAAACGCGAGAGGCGTCTTATGAACCGCGAGAGGGCTCTCCCGAACAGCGAGGAGGCATTTTTGAATCGCGAGAGGGCATTCGTTGAGCGGGAGGTGAAGCAGATGTTATCCGAGGAACACGGAGGAAGCGGACGCCCAACGCATAGCAAGCAATGCGAGTGAAGCAGAGTCATGACGATGAGACAGAAAGCTGACGAGGACATTGGTATGGATTGACGAGTTTGAAAAGAGAAGACTGATGAGGAGGATTAGGAAGGTGAGGAAATGATGATGATGATGATGATGATGATGATGATGATGATGATGATGATGAGGATGATGAGGATGAGATGGTTGGTGGGAATCCTTACCTTCTGCGCCATCAAAGCCGTTCTTCGACTTTCGTGTGCGGCTTTCAGGCATAGCTAGGATGAGGACAGCGATCTGACGAGCACGTCGGTATGGATTGACAAAAGGAGAAGACAATGAGGAAGATGACTAAGATGAGGAGCTCATAGTGGTGAGGGTAATCACGTGTGCGTAATGAGGATGGTTAAAGCAATGCTGATGGTAACGAGGGCTTTCAGGCATAGCTATGATGAGGACAGCGATCTGGATTGACTAGTTTCAACAGTAGAGGTCAACGAGGAAGATGAGCGAGATGAGGAGATGATAGTGATGAAGGTAGTGATGTCAATAATGACGATGATCATGGTAATGCTCATGGGGATGATGGTGACGATGATGGAGATGGTGGTGACAGGGACGAGGATGATGTGGCGACAATGATGGCGATATGAAGTGGATCAGGTGAAGTTGATATGACATGTTGCTCTGCGCTACGCTCGCCATAGCTCCTCAAGACGTACCTGCACTCTTGCGCGCTTCTCTTCTTTCGTCTCCCCCGACAGCCTCCTTACCCTCGCCTCATGACCCTCTCACAGTGGGTCTCTCTCGCATGTCCCCTCCTCTGCGGGTGGCGGCTCTGGCGGAGGCTCCCTAGATATCGGCACCTCCAGGTCCATGTGCTCCCCTGCAGGCTCAGTCAGTTGTGGCACCGCAGTAGTAGGTGTCTTCACCCTCTCGCACTCCTCTGGCCCCGCCCGCGTCGGAGGTAGCGTAGTGGCTCCCAATGGCGATATCGGAATCTCCTCGCTACCCGGCTCGGGGATTCCCTCAGGCCAGTGTTGTGGTACCTGCTCCGGAAGTGGGGTAGGCGGAGGGTTATCATCTCCAACAGTAATAACCTCCTCAGTCTGCGGCTCCTCGGGTCCACGAGGCCCCGCCTCATGCCTCGGCTCAGGTGACTCCTCCTCCGGCTCATTCTCTACAGGCTCATACCGTAACGGTCCGCTCTGGTCCGCTCCCAGCTCTGACGCCCCCCACTGGGACGCATCGAGGTGAGCCTCCAACCTGTCGAGCGGCGTCCTCAACGGCACCGCCTCTCCCCCCTCTGGTAACGTCGGCGACGGGCCCCGTAGATCACTGCCCGTGTTTCTATGAAACTTCACCTGCTCGAGTTCATAGGTAGGGGGTAGCTCCGCCGCCTAAGCTGGCCCCCCGGCCTGAACCGGCTCCACCGCCTGGGCGGCCTCTGCTGGCCCCTCTCGCTGTGCCAAGGCCTTTCGGCCCCCTTTGGTCGTAGTGGTCCCTCTCGCCTCCAGGCCCCGTGACCTCTTACTCCTTTGTCGTCTCTCCACCCTGGTCTCTGGTCTCTCGGGCTCCAGTCGTCGAAATGCCCGTCTCAACTGGGTCTGACAGTCCTCCCAGTCGTGCGCCCTTTCCTGGATCTACCTTGCCAACGACCTCTCCGCCCTCCGTGTCCAGAGGGGCAGCATCTGCATCCGCTCCACCTTCCCAGCCCCCTCGTCGCGCATATACTGCTCATAGGCCGGGATGAACTCCTCCGCATTGCCTTCCTCCAATCGAATAGGCAATCCATCCGGTCCCATCGGTGAAGCCCTCAGCATCTGCATCCTCGCCTCCACATCCTGCCATGTCAATGCCCCCTCTCGAATGTGCGCAGTAGGCTCCTCAAAGCGCCCAATTCCCCTCAGGTGCCGTATCTTCTCTAAGGTAGATCAGCCCTCCTTTGTCGCATGTGCCTGGTAGGAGTCTAGAAAAAGCTCTATGTTACCGTCGTCGAAGATAGGCGTAGACTCCCTCCCAACCGGTCTGCGCGAGGCCTCTGTCGTGGCCGCGCACCCCTCCCGCCCCTTTGCATGGCTGTCTTTGAAATGTCAGACCTGCACAACAAGCGAGAGAAAGCAAGCAGGCACACAACAAGGTTAGCCCTCGGCTCATCAAGTTTTCATGACAATACACATGCCTTTTCCTACTCCCTCACCTGTCCCGACCATAGCATGCGATACCTCAAGGACCAGTCTACTCTGAGAAAGGTAGAATTCTTTACCTACTCCCTGGCCACGAACTTCTTTAGCCTGGTCCCTGATACCCAATCCTGCCCGCCTGTCCCGTCCAGCTCCTCGATCTGATAGGCCCCAAATTCGCCGCATCGCAATATTTTATAGGGGCCCAACCATCTTTTGTCAAGCTTCCTTGACCATTGCGTTTCCAAAGAGGAGTCGTATAATAATACGATATCCCCTACTGCCAATGGCTTCTTTCTTACTCGTGCCATCTGGTTCCACCTCATCTTATCTTCCATGCGACTCCTTTCCACAAGCGGCCTCTCGCAATCTTTCTTCGGCCGCCCCCACTTGCCGCGCCTGAATATCGAGCAGTTCTTCGAAAGACAGGTTCACCTCCAAGTCCTGGCGCCTCCACGTCTTCTTAAAACTTTCTATGGGAAAGGTGGCATGCCTTCCGTACCATAGCGTGGCTGGCACGTACTTGGTAGTCCTCTTTACAGTAACATTCTCCACGAAGAAGGTTGCCCGTAGGAACTTCGGCCACTGACCAAAGCCAGGAGATTCGTGATGGTAATGTGCCCCCTTTCCACAGGAGCATTCGCTTGAGGGTGTGCGGCTGTAGTATAGTTGGCCACTACGCCATACCCTGCAAGCAACGTCCTTACCTCATTGAAGGTGCACGTAAACTATGATTCTTGATCCATCACGAACTCCTTGACAAAAGGGTATCGTAGGTAATACTCCTCGATGCAATTCGCTAAAACCGGGTCAGTCGTCATCCGGATAGCTCGTCCGTCCACAAACCTAGTAAGGTTATCCCATGCATCGAAGACGTAGTTACACCCATTCTCCCCTGCTGGCATGAATAACAGGTCCAGGTGTACGACCGCACCCACCTCCCTTTCTAACCTTGGGTGTAGGGGTTCTCCGGGCCTTTGCGCTGACCTCTCTTGGCAAGGTATACAGGACCGACAGTATTTGATAACCATTGTCAGCATCCCGTCCCAATGGTAGAGCTCGCTTATCTTCGCGCATGTGGCACCTACTCCTCTGTGCCCCCCTGCTATACCAATCGTGTAGGGCCGCTATGATATCAATTTGCCGGTTTCTCCCTTATACGATCCTCTTGGGGTTCCCGACCTGCCGCTTGATGTACAAGTGGCCGTCTCTTACCACACAGAGGTGCGTCATCTTCTGTGCCTTGGCACTTACATCTCTATCCCTCATCTCGCATGATAGGAGCAACCCCAATTCCCAATAGATCCCATCGTACTCCTCCGCCCGAAACGCCTCCTTGATTTCTCCTTCCTCGAATTTGTCGTCTCAACTTTCAAGAACCAGAATCTCATTCTCCTCGTGACTGAACGAGTCCTTCCGGTCGAAGTCACCTTGCAGGAGCGTATTGGTGAGCAAGTACATCCCTCCCATTAGCTGCCCCATGGATCTACCTGAGTGGGGCCCTCCTCTATTGTCCTCACTTCCTTCACCAGACTGTGCGTACCTGCCAATGCCAACTTCATCATCCAACCAACATCCTTACTCCCCTACGGATCCTCCTCCTAAAAGGGCTTGAGGACTAACTCTTCCTTCTGCTCGTACCCCTTCGGTGCCAGCCATATGGGGTGACTGACGCAACTGGACACTCGCAGGGACCATTTGTTTATGTGCAGGCGGACGTCCTCCTCTTGATCCAAAAACCCATCAACTGGCGGTGTGTCTTCTATCGATTCCTCGTCAGATCCGTCCCAGTTGATGCGGCTTAACCCATCTGCCCTGTTCTTGTTCCTTTGGATCCTCTCCAGCTCGAAATTAAACATCCAAATGTAGGTCAACCATCTTGCGATGGTTGGGTCAGATGGAGTATAATTCTTCAGGGAACACGCCAGTGCAGTAGGGTCCACCCTCAAGATGAGCCTCGTGCCAAAAACATAGTTCCGGAAGGTCCTTAGGCAATGGAGTACCGCCAACATCTCCTTCTTGAACTGAGAGTAGTTCCTCTCAGTTGTATTGAGGGTATGACTTTAAAATCTTAGCGGCCTCTCCTTCTCCTCAGTATCTGCCTGAATCAGGACTCCTCCCAAGGCAGTTGGCCCAGCGTCCGTCTCAATGACGAATGGTCTTTCCTCCGTGGCCTCATAATTTAGCGCTCCCATTACCAAGCCCCCTTCCTTAAACTCTCCCTTAATCCTACTGACCGCCTCTTCCTGGTCTTCACCCCAGACCCATTATTGATCCTGGCGCACCAACTTCCTTAAATGCTCCGTCTTCGTGGCAAAGTCCTTTACGAAGCTCCTCCAAAATCCGCACGTCCCAAGGAAGCTCCTCACATCGGTTATCGAGCGGAAGGGCACTAGCCACTCAAGAATCTTATCTGTCTTCGTTACGTCAGGCCTCCGCCCACTCTCATTGCAGACGAATCCTATAATTGTGGTCTTCCTCATACAATGTTTCGACTTGGGGCCGCTCGCTGTCAGGTTATGCTCCTCCAATAACCCCACAACCTGATCGATGTCTTGAACATGCTTCCAGACAAAGCGTCGCACACAGGGCATCACTTCGTCTTCCTCCTTCTCCTTCGGACCTTTGACAGCCAGGTCATCGATATAGGGCTGGGTGATATGTGGACTGACCGTCTGCATGGCTCTGATCATATGCCTTTGCACCATCGCCACCGCATTCGTCCAACCTTGAGGCGCCACGTTCATGTGAATCAACCCTCTGGGGTGTGCATTGCCGTTACGGGCCTGTCTTGCAGGTATACAGGGAATTGATCATACCCCGAGTAGAGGTCTATAAGCAAGATTATAGGCCTCCCTGCATACGATTCTGACAATGCGTCTGCGTTCGGCAATCCTTCCGCGTCCCGCACTGTCACCGTATTTAGCCGTTGCAAGTCCTGCACCCACCTAAGCGTCCCGTTTGGTTTAATAAAACAAAACCAAGGCGACGCGTACGGCCCACTGGAATAATTGGCCACGTGTGTCCGCATCTTGTCGTCCAGGTAGTCCACCACCATCTTTTCCTCGTCTGGATTGGGGTACCGCGCGCCCCTTAGATTCCATGGCTCATGTGGGACCGTGTGGATCATGATCATCGGAATCTTGTCCACATCCAGCCTCCCACGCTCGTCGTCGTTGAATGCATACGCGCGGTGCCTTTTCTTCATCAGCCCCACCATCAGCGCTCTCTCCTGGGGCGACAGGAAGTCGGGCTCCCCAATTATCAACCTCCCCTCATTTTCGTCGTTAATACGGCACGACCCGGCCAACGCATGCTCCCGCATACGCCGTATCAACCCTCGCTCCCGCTCGTAGTAGGCTTCCTCATCCTCTTTGACGAGCACAGGAACTGGGCGACACTTCTTATCTATGGTCTTGTAGGAAGACCTCAGGCAAGTTGGCCTCCCACTCTCGGGCCTCTTCACACAGGGCTTGCAGCTTCTGCTTGTATCTCCCCACTTTTTCTAGCAGGTCTTCCATCCGCCCCAGGAGGAGTGTGGCCGGCTCTCCCTCGCCTTCTTGCCCCTCATTGTCCGATTCGACGACTATTGGCTCCTCGCTTATAGTCCTTGCCTTTAGTCGCTGAGTGACCTCCTTGCTATCTCCCACAATCTCCTCAACCTTTATGACCAACTCTTTTTTCTACTGCCACATCCTGAACATGGCCGGGGTTGTCGATGGCCCTGCCGCCGCTCGCCTAAGAGCTTATTGCCTGATTCCTCCCGGGGTCCTAGGGCCGATATGCTCTCCCCACTTATCGTATATATCCCCGTCCATACAAGAGGAAATTAGACCTGCCAACTCATCATCTCGCCGTCGTTGGCAGAACCGTATAGTATGGCCCACCTCGCAACAATGCGAGCAGGTAGCGTTTCGCCAATCAAAGCGGGGCCCCCCTCTTGGCCACCTCAGCCACCTTGGTTCTGACCCCCCTGACTATTCCAACCACCCCCGCGACCCCCACCATTTCCTCCTCGGCCTCGGCTGCCACCTCCTCGACCCCCTTGACCTCGGCCTCCATTGCCTTGTCCGCCCTGTCCTTGGTTTCCTCTCCCGACCACGCTGACCTGCGAGGCGTGTTGGGAGGGAGGTGGTTGGGCCACAAACTGACCCTGGGCCGCAGGGTAGTTCGGTGGCCCCATACTTGCCGCTGGGCCCGCATAAGGGACCATTTGCCCGGGCTGGGTTTGACTACCCCCGCACGAGGTGCAGTGATTACAACAGGGCCAGGATTTAGGCTGACAGTGCGGCACCAAATGCCCACAAGCCGACAGCGGCCCCATACATGATGGCCCGGCCGTCGTTGCCGTTGTCGTGGCAGCAGGTGGAGGCGCAGCAATCGCTTGCGGGACCTGCCCTTTTCCGGATCCTTGACCCCCCACTTGTAAATTCCGCTGCTTTCTTTGGGCCTTGGTTAGAATCTGGGAGCCCATCTCTTCTCCGCCATAGTCCTCGGGCCTAGTCTCCTCTTCCACTGCCCCCGACGTCCGGCCTTGGGCCATGATCACTCCCCTCTTTTGCACTTCCGCCTCATTATTTTACCCCAACGCTGCCAATACGTCCGTGACGATCCTCTTTACCCTTGGGGTCCCGGACGCGGTGGCGTCCTTTTCCTTTCTCTTGCGCCTTTGCAGCCGCACCTGGTGCTGTTACACATGGTCCAGGCTCCCCTCTTCCACCCCTTTGTCGATGGTGGCCCATGTGAGTTTCTCACTTCCCCCTCCGTGACCCGTCAGCTCCGAGGCCTCCGAGCCAGTAAGCAGACCCAAGAATATGGCACACTGTGTTTCTTCGGAGATCCCATGCACCTTCCGCGCCTTCCTTTTAAACTCGTGCACAAACGCCCCAATCATGGAGAAGTCATCCTTGTTCATGGCCTCCAAATCTGCCATGGTTAGCAAGCCATCCCCCAACCTGTACTTTCTCTGCATCATGTCCCTAAACCTCGCCCAACTACCATTAGCGGCATCCACGACCTTGCCCAATTCCTGATGGTGGCTATGAAGGACATATCTTAGGACCCGCTGGAGCTTGACCTCATCTGACAATCCCACCAGTGCCGGCTCCGTCAGGTCCAGCCAGTCGGACACCCGCTCTCCTCTGAAGTGGAACGTATCAACCTTCGGGACAATGCTCGGCGCTCTTTCGCGCTTATCCAGGGCATCGATGAGGTCGACGAGCGTTACAAGCTTTCTCCCACCGTCCGCCATCTCCTCGGGCATTCTGATTAGCTGCCTTCGACTTCAATCCCCCTGTTATCAAAAACGATAGGACAAAAGGTTTCACTCAGCAGTCCATTCCTTCGCGACCCTATCGCACCGACCACCTAAACACTCGACGCTATGAACCCGACCGACATTTTTTTCTCTCCTTCCTACCTCCTTTGGGTCACCTAGGTAAGACCCACTCTCATCACCGAATTTACTCACATACTCACCTCGTTCGCGCCATCAACCGAATCATCAATCAGATCAGCATACGGTCGTACACAGCCATTTGGGTTACTATACGATTTGTCTCATGGTTCTACCTTTATCCACTCATGTGCCTAGTTCACCCTCATTCGCATACCCGGATGTCGTTCCACCAGGGACAACGGTAGGCTTCCGTCATCCCCGGCAATGGCGCCACCTGTCGGGCGCATCGGTCCGGCAACGCACGTAGCAGCGCGGGACCCTCTTGGCCGCGTCACGTAGGAGTTGGACCTATCTCGACACGAACACACGCATGGAGCTTCCTTAGGACGCTCCGGCCGAGTGCGCTAGCCATACCTCTCGCGAGCCCCTACGACAGGATAGGGCCTACGCGAGGCATAACTTACCTCTACCTTACGGGAGCTGTCACCTCCCTTCGGTGGGCGTATCCCCGCCGAGCTACCAGTCCACATTACGAAAGCTACTCGGTTGCAATCGCAGAGGTGAACCAGCCAAGGGTGTTTCTCGCTCGCTGTAGCATAGGGGGTACGCACGGTAATACGCCTATCGGACCCGCACGCGAACCGACATCTTGAGGGGCTGGAGTCCCAAGCACGGCCCGACGTCGGTCGACTAGGACGCATCCCACACACCACGCGCACACCATCTTACGAACACAAAAATAAAACACACGCACACACACATATGAAACGACACAACGCAAGCTACGCGACAACGCTCCTAGCCCCTCGGTAGCCAACCCATAACTTCCCGATACAGGAATCGAATAGGCGTCGCGGGGCTAACTCATATCGACTCGCAATGCAGGCATACGCAAGGAGTCGCAATGATGGCGTACCATGTAGTACCCATACTCGCACGGCTCTCGTCAATCTGGAGGGTCGCATTCGACACTCAAGTGTCGGCTGACACGCGCCTTGAGGGTTAATCTCTCGACGCTCGACAACCGCCGTGCACGGTTGGAGACCACACCCTCTTCTGCACCCTGTGCAGAGGGGTTGAGTAGACAGCTCTAAGCTGTCGTGGCGGTCGAATATCAAGGGGTTTGACTTTGACGGCCGCCACGGACTATAACGTCCAACCACGAAAATGTCAAAAAAAAGAAAACTCACTCCAACTCCCATTAGCTGATGGCCCTCAAAATTGGAAAGGGGGTGGATAAGCCCAAACGACGCGCGCGCGGAGGGGGTCTGGTATCCTACCCATAGGCTACCCGACGTCTGGGATAATGAGGCCCGTACACGGACTCCCAAAGGCTGACCGGGACTAGTCCTCCACCCACATGCCGCTTCACGTTACCAAGACCCCAAGTTTACTGCCCGTGTAGCGCTCGTGATCTCGCCGCCTAACCCATAACTCTTTTAGTGCGGGATGCGACGAGTGCCGCACGCGAACTTAGTATAAGATCGCGAGGGGCGCAGGGCTTACACATACTATCTCGCTATGCAGTTCAACGCGAGTAACCGCGATGACGACGCATTGTGTAATGCCCACACCCAAATGGCCTATTCTGAGCCAAGGGGTCACCTTTCGACGCTCAGGCGTTGGCTGAAGCGCGAGCCAATGAGGGTAATCCCTTAAACCCGCGTAAAAACTAGCCTGAGGGTTTTTTAGTTCTCTATGACGTGAGGTACATGCCTGTAAAATTTCAAGTCATTTGGCTGAGCCAAATCAGAATTCAAAATCGCCAAAGATGGCGGTGTCAAAACGTGCTCACGCATGTATTTTTTCACTTTTTACTTTTTGTTTTCACTTTAGTTCAGGATCCAAACAATTTTTTTTATTTTTTGAAATTTTTTTAGTGGGTTTTGTATAATGTGAAGTACACATCTGTAAATTTCCAGGGCATTTAGCTATGCCAAAAAAAAAAAGAAAAATCGCCAAAGATGGCGGTGTCGAAAACATGCTCGTGCACTCACTAAATTTAATTCTCTTTTTATTTTTATTTATTTTTATTATTAGTATTTGTTTTCCTTATTTTATTTTAATTTTAAATTTAGTAAGGAATTCGGATGTAATGCGCTGGCAAATCTTGTTTAATTTAGTTTTCTCCATAACATATATTTTTTTCAGATTTTTTTGATGACTTTTTTTTTTTTTTTTTTTTTTTTTTGGTTCCGCGTTCGGCCCGAACGGCGGAACGCATCCCCAAGGGGTCCCATACGTTCGGGCGTTCGGGTTCGGGCGTTCGGCCCGTCCCAAACGCCGGTTACCCTGTATATATATATATATATATATATATATATACAGGGTTACCAGGCCGAACGTACAGAGGCGACTAAGCTGACCCCCGAACGTTCGGGCGTTCGGGTCCTAGTGCAGGGCCCGAACTCGAAGGGGTTCGGACACCTCAAAAAAAATATTTTGGTACCTTAAGATTATTTTTCTTTCTGATTTTTTTTTTGTGAGTTCTCTGTTATGTAAGCTACCTGTGTATTAGTTTTGAAGTCATTCTGTGGAGCCTAAAAATAATGAAAAATCGGCAAAGATGGTGGTGTGAAAACTTGCTCTCCCACTAACTAATTATTATTTTTTCAAACTTTGTTTGTAGGTTTTCTATTATGTAAGGAACATATCTATAAAATTTCATGGCATTTGACAAAGCCAACAAAAAATGAAAAATCGCCAAAGATGGCGGTGTCAAAAACTTGCTCGCCCACGCAATAATTTCATTCTCGTTTTATTTTTTCTTATTTTCATTAATATTATTTATTTTTCGTATTTGATTTTTATTTCAAATTCGGTAATGAATTTGGACGTATTGTTGAGGCAAATGTTGTTAAGTTTACTCTTTTGCATGACATATTTTGTTTTCAGAATTTTTGGAAACCTTTTTTTGTTTTTTTTTTTTTTGTTTTTTTTTGGTTCCGCGTTTGGCCGAACGTCCGAACGTGTCGAGAGGGGGTCCCAAACGTTCGGGCGTTCGGGTTCGGGTGTTCGTGCCGTCCCGAACGCCGGCAGCCGTATATATATATATGTACAGGGTTACCAGCCCGTACGTACGGAGGCCCTCGGGCCAACCTCCGTACGTTCGGGCGTTCGGGGGCACGTTCGGGGGCACGTTCGGGGGCCGAACCCCTCCGAACCTGAAGAGGTTCGGCCCCCGCCAAAAATTATCTCGGGGCCTAAAAATTATTATGTTTTCTTGAATTTTTTTTTGTGAGTTCCGTATGATGTGAGGTACATGCCTCTAAATTTTGAGATAATTGCGCTTAGCCAAACAAAAATGAAAAACCTCCAAAGATGGCGGTGTCAAAACGTGCTCTCCCACTCACTATTTTGTTTTTTTTCTCTTTTCTCTTTTTGTTTTCACTTTGTTCCGGGGCCTAACCAAATTTTTTTTTTTAATTTTTTTTTAATGAGTTTTGTATCATGTGAGATATACATCTATGAGTTTTCGGGGAATTTCACTTATCCAAAAAAAAATAAAAAATCTTCAAAGATGGAGGTGTTTAAAACGTGCCCGCCCGCACACTGATTATAATTCTCTCTTCAAATTTTTTGTTTCTATTATTATTTTTGATTTTCCGTTATTCATTTTTAATTCGAATTTGGTATCGAGTTTGGAGGTAACTCTGAGGCAAATGTTGTTCAGTTTGTCTGTCTTCATAGCATATATTTGTTTCAGATTGTTTGGACGACTTTTTTTTTTTTTTTTTTTTTTTTTTTTTTTTTTTTTTTTTTGGTCCGCGTTCGGTCTGAACGGCCGAACGTGTCTATAGGGGGGCCCGGACGTTCGGGCGTTCGGCCCGTCCCGAACGCTGGTTACCTTGTATCTATATATATATCTATATCTATATATATATATATATATAACCGGCCCGTACGTACGGGCGTTCGGGGTCCCGTATGGGGTCCGAACCCGACGGCGTTCGGCGCCCGCCAAAAATTGTTTCGGGGTCTAAACATAATTATTTTTTTCTTGCATTTTTTTTTTTTGCGTTCTTTATGACATGAGGTGCATGCCTGTAAATTTTCAAGTCATTTGGCTTAGCCAAAAATGAAGTAAAAATCGTCGAAGATGGCGGTGTCAAAACATGCTCGCCCACGTATTTTTTCACTTTTTACTTTTTGTTTTCACTTTAGTTCGGGGTCTAAACAATTTTATTATTTTTTGAAACTTTTTTAATGGGCTTTGTATTATGTGAAGAGCACATCTGTGAATTTTCAGGGCATTTAGCTATGCCAAAACAAGATGAAAAATCGCCAAAGATGGCCGTGTCGAAAACATGCTTGCGCGCTCACTAAATTTAATTCTCTTTTTATTTATATTTATTTTTATTATTAGTATTTGTTTGCTGTATTTTATTTTTATTTCAAATTTGGTAAGGAATTGGGATGTAATGCTCAGGCAAATCTTGTTTAGTGTATGTTTCTCCATAACATATCTTTTTTCAGAATTTTTTGATGACCTTTTTTTTTTTTCTTTTTTTTTTTTTTTTNCAAAGAAAGGTCTGTCACAGCCAAAAAATACACTCCAGACATGCCGCTGGCACTAGAGGCACAGCATGGCCGCCTAGTAACGGCCCCGACCACTGCCGCTCGACCTGACCGGAAAAAACCGTAGCAGGAAGCTAGCGAAGTCGTAGCATATATATATATATATGCCTACGGTTTACCGGGCAGTTCTGTTTGTGACGATATATATATATATACGACAACTTCCTGAATTGTCCTGGCCGATTAGATAGGTATATAGACTCATCGGTTGCCACAGTCTGTGATAACCGGTGAAAAACACACATCCAGAATTTCAAAGATACGTCATCACCCAAAAACGTTGCATGATATTGTGAGAAAATCAAGTGTCAGGTCTTAAGATCAGCTCAACCCATGCACATTGATTATGGCTTAAGAATGTTGTAAAAAAAAAAGGAA